CGCGTTGGTATGGGTTGGAACTTGTTACCAGGGGGTTTCTGAGGTTGCTTATTAGGAACCTGAAGTCAGTTTCTCAAAATTCAAAATGGCGTATCCAAAATGGCGATCAATTTTTTTTTTAAGTGGTTGGATTTGTTCGAAAACCGGCACTCGAGAGTTTTTGGGGTCGCCGATTACGAATCTGAGGTCAATTTTTTAAAATTCAAATTTCGGAAGTTATGATAATAGCTGCTTATATGTATTCTCTGAAACTATTTTAACCGTTATCTTACGTAGACAACATTTAAGACTTTAGGACATTACAACGCTTAACAATCAAGTTTTTATCTATTTATTTTTAACAGATTATATAATTTTTATATTATCAATTGGATGCTTTTAGTTCATATAGCTCGAATTTTGAGAGGTCAATCACTCATCGGTAAACCGTGTTAGACGTCTTGTTAATTTAGCCTTATTGGACAACTTGACCCCAAGCGCCCCTCCCCAACAAAAAATCTGTACACGCCACTGCCCTTATCTTTGTCTCTGCCTTTGTATTTATCTTAATCTTCATATTTACCTTATTCTCCATCTTTATCTTCCTATTTATAGTCATCTTCACCTTCATATTCGCCTACATCATTTTCAGCTTCATCTTCTTCTTAACCTCAATCTTTATCTTTGTCTGTATATTTTTATTGGCCGTTGACTGCGTCTTTCGTTTTATCTTTCCCTCTGTCGTTATCATATATGTTTCTTTATCAATATCGTTGTCTTTTGATTGTCATTGTTTTTTGCCCAACCCAAGCAGCGTTAAAAGCAGCCGTAAGTTTTCTGACCACGCATTTGCCCGATACTTGTGCATTTAGGTAAAGCTCGTTTAAGAAGTCTAACTTAAAATAAGTTTTCGTCTACTAGCGGTCACCCTGTCAGGGACTGCTTCCGTTACTTATCCGCTAATCTGAAATGTATCATATATCTGTTTCTGATCACCGATGATAAAGCTAATCACAAAGAAATGTTGCTCGAGCGATGGGGAAACTAAGCCATGCTCTCACGGGTAAACAGAAACCATTACTTCACTAGTCATGGAAAAACCGTATCTGATATGGTTTGACAGGTAACAGCCTCATGAAAAGTGCAGTACTATATAAAAATAAGGTACTTTACAATGACTCAGACAGGCAGTGGAGATGAAGAGTCCGCCAACGAAAACATAGGCAATGCTCTCGCTAACAATCGTTTGCTCAAGTATTTATCGCGGTAAAATACAATCGCAAAATGAGCTAATATGAGAAAATCGTATTTTTAATCGTTCGCGATCGTTCGTTGGTAGAGCGTGGGTAAACAAATATTTGAATTTAGTATATTTTGATACGAACGAAGGCAGGTTACTCGCTTTTTTGATATAAAAATGGGCAAAGTATCGAATATTGAAAAGACAAAACTTGTTACATATAATAAAGACACAAATTTTTCGAGTGCCTTTTGTGCGAAAAACAACTTAAACGCTACATATTAGGAAACATTAAAAGACATTACGAAACTATACACAAACATAACTTTTATGAAAGCGTTCCATCTACAAGCGACAGTAACGTTTCCAAACGCCGAAGTTCTAACCAATTTGGTCTAAAATTAATTAAAAAAGATTTTTTAAAGTGTTGTGTTGGATTGGTAACCGTGAAAAACATTCCGTTTCGACTTTTCGATGACGAGCTTTATTTTAAGCAAATAATTAGACCCTATGAAACTCAATTTAGTTTACAATTAAATTCAAAAAATATTGTTGAGCATACAAATCTGTTCGCAAATAAAATAAAACATCTTTTGAAACAAAGTTTGTCCAAGGAAATGTTAAGCTTAAAAGTCGTTGTAGCTACCAGAATGGGGAAGAATATATTGGGAATAAATATCCAGTATATTAAAGATTTTAAAATTGTGATAAACACAATTGGCATGATACAATTGAAAAATAGGCATACAGCATATTTTTTAAAAGAGGAAATATTAAAATGCTTGCAAGAACTCGATATTGACCTTACACAAATATATTCAACTACTTCGGACAATGGGGAAAACATGTTAAAAGCTTCAAAACTACTTCAACAAGACATGATAGATTTACAAATTGATGAATGCGAAACGACTTCAGAAAATGAGAATGATGACTACGAGTTAGTACACCGTCGCTTGAATTCGGTACTGGCAGTTGTAAGATGTGCCGCGCACACAATTCAATTGGCGGCATATGATTCTTTCATGGAAATGCAAAATAAACTGGTGGAGTGCAGGAAAATTGTGAAACTACTTAGGGCTAGCATAAGAAGCTGTATTAACTCTGCGGATCTACGTTTGCCACCAATTGATAATATAACTCGATGGAACTCAACATTTGAAATGATAGAATCCCTTTTGAATTTTAAACAGCATATTAATGGAAACGATATGGGATTTTCTATTGACTGTGAAATTGATTGGAACTTCATAGAAGACTTTGTCAATGCATTTACACCAATGGCGCAATGTATCAAACAACTTCAAGCTGAACAATACATTATCGGCGATTTTTACAGAGACTGGCTTCTATGTGAAGCAAAATTAAAAAAATGGGTGAAAATGCGTTTGCAATAAAGTTGTTGGAATCTATGAGAAGAAGGAAAGAAAAATTACTCGACAATGTTGCATTCCTTTCTGGTATATACTTCGACCCAAGATTCAACTTTTTGGATTCACCGTATATTAATGATGACCAAAGGAAAAGAGCAGTGGTATATTATATTGTAAATGATCTAATCTCTTACTATTGTAAGATAAATAAAATTTTTTTATAGGTGCACATATTAAGAACAAATGCAACGCTTAGTTCATTAAATGGAGATGGGAATTCAAGTAACGAAAAAATTGACCCTCAAGAGGATATACATACATGTTTCGCCAAATGATCCCTACAACATCTTAGAAGAAGAGCTAAAGAATATGACCAGCAGCCGATTGACAACTCAAAACAGTGCCAATATTCGCCAAAAGCTGGACAATTTAGCATACGGCCAATGAATGTCTTTCGCAACAAATGTACTCGACTATTGGAAAAATCTGTATACTAAAGAAAGAGACTTATTTAAGCTGTCTGAAATCATTTTAGCAGTTCCATCGAGTCAAGTTTCCGTAGAAAGAGCATTCAGCGCGCTAATCACAATTATAACAAAGCAGCGCTCAAGACAAAGCAGTGACACAATTAATAATTTATTGATAGCAAAGCTGAACAACAATTTACTGGAAATAGTTTCTAAAAATCTGATCTATATTTTGTCAATCTTGAACTATACTGATACTTCTTGTGTACATAATAGACGGAGAGCTCATGATCAATGGGATGACGTCTAAATCACCCTTTGAGACTGCTAACTTGTTTGCTAGCATTTTCAAATCAAAATTTGTTTGTGATCTCTCATCATTTGGGGAATTAGGAGATATTGGGATTTCTCCCTCGTTGGATTTTGAAGGTTTGGAATTATCCGAGGAGGATGTATCTTGCTCGATTAGGGAGCTTAGTAATTCGAAGCAGGCTGATGCTCATGGAATTTCTGCATTTTTCCTCACACATTGCATTACTTCGATTGCTGAACCACTAACGCTTTGTTACTCCTGTATTTAAAGCAGGCGATAAATGCCAAATTTTCAACTACAGGCCTATTTCTAAACTCGCTAACTTTGCCAAATTGTTTGAAAAAGCTGTTAGTACTAAAATGACCTTTGCAATTAAGCCGTTTATATCTATTTCCCAGCACGGTTTCATCCCCGGACGCTCAACTGTTACCAACCTAGCAGTTTTCTCAAATTACTGCATCTCTTCTTTTGTCGATGGTTGCCAGGTAGATACCATATATACCGATATATCGAAAGCGTTTGACAGAGTTTGTCATAGGTTATTATTGTGTAAGTTACGCTCATTTGGTTTTCACTCCAAGTTTCTGGATTGGCTCAGATCTTATCTAGTCAACAGAGTCAACTTTGTATCAGTGGATGTTGTAAAATCGCATGCATATGTTGCTACTTCGGGTGTTCCCCGTGGCAGCATATTAGGTCCGTTACTCTTCTTAATTTTTATTTATGATGCCAGTGCTTGCTTTAAACAATGTAATCACCTCTTATATGCGGATGATTTGAAAATTTTTAAATATGTAAACACTACCTTTGATATAGACCATTCAAAATTAGTTGAATATCTTCTGTGACTGGTGTAGGCGAAATAAGCTAGAGCTTAATTTAAGTGCTGTTTTGTGAGGTACTACAAAAGACGTTTACCTCTGCAGTCGTCGTATCATATTTCAGACTCCGATATAAGCTCCTATAATAAAATTAAAGATCTTGGAGTAGTGTTCGACTCGGGCTTCACGTTCATTGAGCACCTAAACTACATTATTCCCAAGGCATACTCGTCATTGGCTTTCATGAAGAGGAATATCTCTGAATTTAAAGATAATTTTATACAATGCTTTCGTAAGATCGAAACTAGAAAATGCATCTGTCATTTGGAATCCTTATTTTGATACTCACTCAAAAAGAGTAGAGCGTGTACAAAAGAGTTTTCTAAAATTTGCGTTATACCAGTTGAAGTTTGATTGCCAATTCCGCCATATATTTCTCGCTGTAAATTAATTGATATGCATACTCTATCTGGAAGAAGGACTATTTCTGGACTCATGTTTGTACATGATATTCTTAATGGTAGTATTGACTGTCCTGTGCTGCTACAGGTCATAAAACTGAATGTTCCTGTTCGATCTTTAAGGTATTTTGAAATCTTCTCAATAGAATTTTATAAAACTAAGTACTCGCAAAATGAGCCTATTTCTAGGATGTTAGGTGAACTAAATGCTTTAATGAATAGAAGTAGAGATGTTGATATGTTCTTCAGTCGCTGTTCTTTTAAGTTGGCCTCGAGGTCAAATTATAATTAGTCTTAAGTTAAATGTTATCTAGTCTGTACGGTTCGGTAAAACCATAGACTTAAACAAATAAATAAATAACAAACTCATCATACTTCAGATCGATTGAGTACTGCCAGCCCATGTTGAAAGTGCATTGTTGCACCTATAAGTCAACATACTTCTGATGACTTGAAATTTTGATACAATTTTATTTACAGTGCATATAAAATGAATTCAAGGTCGCCTGCCAATTCTGATGGTCTTAAAGTACAAACATGAATGACCATCAGAATGGGCTACTGTAGATATTTCATCTATTTATAATATTAAAAATGTGCTGTGAAAAGGACATCCCATCTGAAGTATGTTGACTTATAGTTGAACATTTCATCTATTTATAATATTAATAATGTCCTGTGATAAGGACAGCCCATCTGAAGTATGTTGACTTATAAGTGCAACAATGCACTTTCAGCATGGGCTGGCAGTCCTTTGAGACCATCAGAATTGGCAGGCAACGTTGAATTCATTTTCTATACCCTGTAATTAAAATTATATCTAAATTTCAAGCAATCTGAAGTATGTTGACTTATAGGTGCAACAATGCACTTTCAACATGGGCTGGCAGTACTCTAAGACCATCAGAATTGGCAGGCAACGTTGAATTCATTTTATATACACTGTAAATAAAATTCTATCTAAATTTCAAGTCATCTGAAGTATGTTTATGAGAGTTTATTGGCAGAAGCATATGTATGAATCTTCCGTTGTACATAAGCGGGAGATACATATACGTTTCCATAAACAGGCAGAGTGCAGCAATGTATTAAGTTTCTGGGCATTCGGGTACAAGTTCATAAATGCAGCGATTTAGAGACCTTAGATACACAAGTGTTAATGTACGTGTAAAAACCTCTACGATAAACGAACAACTTCATTTCTGCCTGTTTCGCATGTACGTACACTAAAGTGATCCAAAAATGTATGTAAAAAAATAAGGTCGGATTTTTAATACCGCCACACCCTAGGATTGTTATATACCGAAAAAAAAATATACCCACATTTTTTTATTTTGAAATCAAAATATATTTAGGGAGTGCTCAAAACGTTCAAAGTTTTCCATGTATTTTATATGGAGAAATGGTATAAAGCTCTTGAAAATCAATATTTTTCGAACGAAAACTGTGGTTCTCTTCAGGAAACTTCCAGTATTAATATCCAATTGTTTATTTAACCATTTTTTATGATTAAAGATTTTTTATTGGTCCCCAATTGCATTTTCTAAGGGCTTTGGAGGACCTATAAAATATAGTAACCATGAAAAAATTGTTAAAGAAACAATTGAGTATTATTACTGGTAGTGGTTTTTACTTATAATTACTGTGGTATTATTGGGATACATTCCATTAATTACATACCTGTTTTGGTTAGTTAGAATGGGCCTAGTGCCCGAAAATATACTCCCGAAAGAGACTAGTAAAATTAAAACGTTGATACCGAACGATTTGCGCGTTGGTATGGGTTGGAACTTGTTACCAGGGGGTTTCTGAGGTTG